ACAGCAATTGAGATCATTGATGGGAATTTCTCCTGGGATTTATCTACCCCGAGTGTAACCTTGAAAGATATAAATTTGAAAGTGCACCATGGTATGAGGGTTGCTGTTTGTGGTACTGTTGGCTCTGGCAAGTCTGGTTACTTGCTCTAGTTTGCATACTCTATAGGCCAAACCCCTTGTTTGGCCCTTAAATATTTTTTTATTTTATGGTGAACACCTTAATCTAATTTCTCTCCTAATAAACACCTTCTATAATTCATAAGTAGTAAAAAACCCAAAAGTGTAACGTTGGGTCACCTGTAGGTCATGTGACCGTTAAATTCCGTCAGTTGAAGCATTATGTGACACAAAGGTGTTGAGGTGGACATGACGTGGCCATTATAATCTAATGTGGTGACCTTTTTACTGACGTGGCTTACACGTGTGGTGGGCCCACTACTGGGAAAAAAAGGGTGTTTTTTTGAAGCCATTTCCTCCGTTTGGAGATTAGGGTTCATTAAGAGGTGTCCGATACAGTAAGGAAAGGAGGGACCTTGAATGTTGAAAGTGCAGGCGATGAGATCAGCCTCACTCCCCTTGGATGCCCCGCCCGGTGAAATCTTGGGTGAGGCTCCGCTTGTAAATGCGAATCTCATCATCCTAGGCTCTCCAATTTCCCAAATTTAGGTGAAAAATTTCAACTTTCAGCAACCCTCTTTTAAATTTTTGAAGAACAGAGTCTGAGATAAAGGTAGAAGAGCAACGCAGTCTATGTTGTTGATGTGTTTGAGTTAATGTTTGTGGGTTTCATCATACCTATCTCTTCTTCTACTTCCTCTTGTCAAATCTTTGCAGATTTTTTTGTCCTTTTAACTTTGCAATTGTTTCATGATGAATATAGTTTTCTAAAAAATTCTTCTCGACTTCATGTGCTCTCATTCTTGAACAGATCTAAATTTTGCAGGTTGTTTCAACTTTTAATTTCTATTGTTGGGTAATAAGCCCCACAGGTCTGGGTTTGTGGAAAAAGAATTTGTGAGTTGAGATTTGTAAGGGTAAATCCAGAGCTTCCCGCTAGAATAGCTACACGGCAGTTACGATGGACTTCCTTATATCTAGATATATCTCAATCTCACGGTCCCGAAATAACTGCCTGAAGATACATATCACATCCCGGATATTTTGCTAGATACATATCACATCCCGGATATCTTGCTTTGCATCTTGATTGGCATGCCGCGTGGATTCTGCATCGGAACATATAAATACCTCTCAAGGGCTACGCCAAAAGGGGATGGAAAAAACCAACCCTAAACTCCTTGTTCTCTTGCTTTAAAGGTAGTCTCGATTATTACTGACTTAAGCATCGGAGTGTCTTCCCCGAGATCCATCTCGGGGCTTTGCAGGTCAATCCGGAGTGCAGATCTGAAGTGAAGAAGGACGTTGGGTTTGGTGCAGTTACA